GGGAGCACGTAGACAGAATGTAAGTTTCATTCCTTTTCCTTTCTTTCTATCCCCATCAAGAAAGAAAATCAAGAGGGAAATACATGTGCTCTTTAGGTGGAAGACCATAAGCTCAATATAGTGTTCTACAAAGACATCATCATTATGATTAATTCAGGTACGCTTTCGCATTCAGTTTATAACATGTTTATCAGTATGAGATTACGTTTATGTTTGATCGTTAGAATCAAAATTAGGATTATTATTATGATTATTATTATTAATTTTCCAACAATGCAACCTTGATAGAACCTCTGTTCACATCTCCCACATAAGGCTCATCTTTAGAAATATTTTTAAATATTAGACCTTTAGAACAAACAACCATATGATAATTGTCTTGTTTAAACTATGGGTGAGGAAGATAAGCAAATGTGATGATTTATAAGGAAAAAAAAAAGTCACGCCTTATGAGTGAAAAACCCGAAATGAAAATTTGTAAGGATGAAGTATTCTTTTAACATAATGACTGCATCATTTATTTGTGGTATTTTAGCCAAACTAGCAATGTGCAAATCTTACAATTTGAGCTAGTTTTAGCCAAAACTATTTTTTATTATATGAAATAAGTTGAAATATGACAAAAAGCTTTAAAGGTGGAATCTTCTATGAAATTTCTTATCAAGGGTGTCACCAAATTAACAACATAATCGGTCAAAAAATATGAGCTCAGTTCAAATTCTTCAATTAACCAACATAACTTTTACCGAAATACCCCATGGTGCAACATATAATCAAACTTTAGCAAACCCAAAAGATATCCTTCTAAAGCTAGTCTCACCTTTAACAATAAAGTGTTGTGATAAATGGACAAAGAAAACATGTTGAAAAAGTCAAACTCACCAAAAATAATTATTTTTACATTGTAAATTTGATGCACTTTACAATGCGGCATATTAGGGAATGTAAAACTTTGTTGAAAATTTGAAGACATATGTACGTTTTAATTTACATGGTCCATTTCTACTTATAAATTATATTAATGTTAAATTTTGAAGACAATTTTTTTGTACTTCTAGTGGAAACCCATGCTATACAAGCTACCTCTTGACATGGTGTGGGATCATATGGAATCATTATAGTTAATGTAATTTTTTTAACTTTAAATCAAGATTATACATTAGTCTATTCATGTTATTAGTACTTGTCAAAATTGTTTTGGATTTTCATATGAAGGAAACTATATTCAATCACAAATTTCAATACTATATGAATATTATATGAGAAAGAGAAACTCTTACAACCCTCATGTCAAAGGGAATAATTGACCAACAGATACAATTTATATGAATGACAATTTACATTTTCTGTTATTTATTTGAGGAATGATCCATTGTTGGTTATAACAACAAATATAAAATGGTTAGAAAGCAAATATAAAATAGATAGTCAAAATAATATAAATTAATTCAAATAATGCTTACAACAATAATTATCAAGATAGATAAAATATCGGTGAAAAGATTAGGGATAACTTGGGTTGAGGCACGTAAAGCATTGTTCTTAGAGAGAAAATTGCCCCATTGCATGAGTATAATGAAACAACATGCGCTCCTCTCCCGACAACCTGTCAGATCAATCGAATGCAATAAAGGATCTTTGAATCTTGTGAACACAAAAACACAATTTTGAAACACTTTAAAAATCATATATGGAGTTTATCAAGATAAAACCTAAATCGATGAAACAAAAATAGTGAGACGCATGCGTGTTAGAAGTGACGGATCTTGAACATTGATCTTGGGGTCAAATAATATATTATTAATAAATAATAAATAAATATAAAAAGAAGAAAGAAAATGAAATGGTAAAAAGATAAAATTGTAAATATATACTTAAATATATTAAATGATCATTAAGTTAGAGAGACACAAAATCATAAATTATATGAGAGTTACAAAACTAAGGAGGGGCTGAGAGGATAAAATTGTAAATATACAAGTAAATATATTAAATGTTCATTAAGTTTGAGGGGACCAAAATCATAAATTACATTGGAGTTACTAAAACTTTGGGGAGCCACGACCCCTCAGCTTCCCAAAAAATCCACCACTGGGTTTTAGGATTTGGATTTGACCTATTTTGAAAATCTTAAATTGATGTCAGTCATATAAAGTAAATATAAGCATGGTTTTGAAAGAGGCAAAACCTAAACCAATGAAAAAAAGAAAAATAAAGTTTTGAAACACTTTAAAAACTATAAATTGAGTTTAATAAGATAAACCCTAAATTGATGAAACCAAAAATAGTGAGGCAAAAGGGTTTTAGGGTTCAGATTTGACACATTTTGAAAAATTCTAAATTAGCCATATGAAGTAATAGTAAGCATGTGTTTGAAAAAAGGCAAAAGCTGAATTGATGATAAAAGGAAAACACAATTTTTAGATTTCAAGAAAATACATAAAAGTAGAAATTGTGCGACAAAAGTATTTACACTAAAATTAGCATGTTTGTGAGGCATGAGAGTGTGATGGTCAACGTGATTGCGAGCATGAGTCGTGAGGTGTCAAGAAGAAGAACAACAAAATGCACGAATGAGCGGTGTGAATGTGAGGGTGACAAGGAGAGGGAGAGACATGATAGTGAGTGTGAGCATTTAACGAAGAAGAAGAAAACACAGTGTGTGTGTGTGAGGTATGTGAGCGTGAGAGTGAGAAAAAAAAGAAGAATTTTTTTTTTCGTGGAGTTCCTTAGATGTTGTCGCGTGGAACTAAAATTTATTTTCAATTTTGTTACGTTTTTTACGAAGTTAATACGTGGATCTTTTTCCTTTAAGTGAAAAAATGTGCACAAAATTTTGTTTTTTCTATATTTGTATATATTACATATGGTATCATTCCCATTAACTTCCTTCTTCATTTTCCATGCAAATTTTTTTTGTTTAGTTTTTTTTATTGTGTTAGGTTGATATCTTGGGTTGATTTAGGTGATAACTGGTGTATTGGGAAAATATATGATTAGGCAAGAATCATGTAATCTATTTATTTAGATAATATCTAAGTAGATTTGTAAGTGATAAATCATGAAAATAATGCACTTAATGTGCAATCATATTTTTGTATTTATAGTTGTTTAAGATCAATGGATAAGCAAGGTGATTTTTCCATTCTATTATGTTATGGTATCCAAGGCATACCAAAAGAAAAACTAAGGTCTTGTTGTCTATCACCATGGCAGAAGCAAGCACTACGCAGAGCGATGGAAGCTCCGTAAGAAGAACATTTTTTTCTTATGATATCACCTCCAATTACAATTCTGGAAATATTATAACTCAAGTACAACTGAGGAGAAAAAATTATGATGAATGAGCTTCATCAATGAAAACATCATTGTAAGAACATAATTTCGCTTTGTTAATGGAACAATCTATCGCATTACAAGAAAAACACCAAATAATGACAAAAAATTCAGTCCCTAAATGACCAAAATCATCATTAACTAAAATAGTGACCAACTGGAATCGGTCACTATTTCCTTGGTCACTATTTTAGTGATTGAATTACTGACCAATTCAGTGACCGATTCAATGATCGTGACCGAATCAACAACTGAATCAGTGACCGATTCAGTGACCGAATCAATGATCGATTCTGTAACCGATTTTATGACTAAATCAGTGATCGATTTTGTGAATAACCAATCAATCAATATATCGGTCACTAATTTTATTTAATTTTTTTTAAATAATGATAAACCCGATTAAATAATATGAAATACATTATATGTTATATTAAATATGTCAAAAATTATACTACCTGAGATAACCATCAAAATAATACCATAAATTTTGTTCTAAATAAATTCATCATTGATAGATTAAATATTTTTTTACATATTGAAAATTCAATCTAAAAATAATTAGAATAAACTAAAGTAAAAGTCAATTTTAGAGATGTCAGAAACTAGCAAAATAAATACAATATATATAATAGAAATATCAGTTCACAATTCAGGAGGTTGAACACCCATCTTCTCCATCAAGAGGAGCAACATTTTATCATTTTTCTGAATTTGTCTCTCATTAGTTAACGTTCTTTCACGGAGATCATCCCTTTCAGTCTCAACTTCTTGTAACAACTTGTGTTTTATTTGTTCAATCTCCTCTCTTATAAGCTGGACAGATGATGAAAAGCCAAAACACCTATATTTTCTCTGTAGGGAAACCAACAAAAACTCATCACCAACAAGAAAGTTATGTTTCCAAATAAGGTAAAAGTACATAAAAAGCAGAATTTCAATCTTACACGGACATAGAGGATCCATTAACTGTTCCAAACAATCCTGATAACAGAATGCCAACTCCCTGACCGCATAAATGAGATACATGAGGAATTATAATCCAGTGTTCTACTTAATTGCTTGGTGAAAAAATCATTATAATCACTAATGATCTTTTACCCTATTATTTATAAGTGTGCAATTTTTTCCACAAATACTTAAATGTTCAAGTAAAAGTCATTTTGTACCTAGCAGATTCCTACCAATTACCAATTAAAAAATACAATGTCTCAAGGATCCAGTTGAATCTGACTTGAGAAATATCAATATGAAGGATCTAGTTGAATATGACTTGAGAAATATCAATATGCTTATGCTATAAGATCCAAAATAGTCATAAATATTAAAAAAGAAATAAGTAAGAATGATACGCAATATATGCAGTTCAGTGTATCATCTAAAAGACATATCCTCACCTAGTCAAAATAATAAACTGAAATCGAAATAGCAAAAATATATCTGAAAATGGAGAAACGTATTAAATATTGAATATAATTTAGCCTCATTTTATAATGAACATGCAAAATATAATTTTACCAAGCTTTAAATTAGTAAAGTTTTTAATTGGGACCTATCACTATCAGTCACCAATAATTTAATGTTGAGTCCATTTTACCAAAGTGGATTAAAAGGTGGCCAAAAAATCCATCCCTAACACACTAAAATTCAATGAAATCACACAACTAACCAAGGAGAAGCATCTATAAGTCCAACACGATCAGTGCGACATCTATAACAAAAACGTTATCCATAGAGCATTGTAAATTTGTAGCAGAAGACTTACCCCAGGGAACCCTAACTCATACAGTCCAAAACCAACAAGAGATACCAGAGGAACTGATGAAAGTGGACTTAAGAACCTGAAAACACAAGAAGTATGGCCTCAGCTGCATCAGAATGACCCCAAATTTTTCATCAAAATAAAGAAGAAAAACAAAAGTAAAGTAAACCTCAACTAAAGGGGAGTCAAGAAGATTCTTAAAGTCTTTTTAAAAACTATTAATGGGAGAAGGGGTAGTAGGCGAACCAAAAGAAGAAGTATTCCAAGACGTTGAGCTAGATTTGGGAGGGAGAAGGGGAGGGCTTGAAAAGGGAGGGGCAAAGATCAGAGAGGGGGCGAGAATCGGCAGCGTTATTTTCGTTGAGGAGGAGGGAACGGGTCCAGTGAGGGAGGCATTTGGTGGGGAAGACGCATTTGACGAGGGAGAGGCGGTCGATGGCAACGACGACGGGAGAGGAGGGAGAAGAGGGTTTGAGCGAGGTCGTCGGAGTGGCGGTGGTGGATCCAAGCATTGGCAAAGGCGGGGTCGTCCAAGCCGAAGAGCTTGGAGATTAGGGTAGGGAAGGCGAGGGAGAAGAAGTGACGAGATTGGTCGGGTGAGTGAGAGTGCACGAAGGAGTCGATGGAGGCGCAAGCAGATGCGATTTGGGAAGGGTTGTTCGCAGATTGTATGGCAGAGGATAGTTCCTGGGATTTGGAGAAGGAATCGAAGGTGTAGGAGGAGAGAGAAGGCATGGCGCGGTTTAGGGATTTGGTTGCGGAGGAAAATGAAATAATGGGTTGGGTTTTTGAAGGTGTGTCTAATGTTGGTGGCAGTGTGGTCGAAAAGGTTTTTGAAGATTTTTTTTTTCAATTATATATTATTTTTTATTTATTATTTATTATTCTGAAAAAGTAAAAGAGACTATCTTTATAATTTTTTCATTTTAATTTTTTAACAAAGTAAAATATCAAAAAAATGAAAATTTTCATTTTATCTTTAATTTTTTTTATTTTTTTAATGTTTTCTAATATTAATTTTTTCATGAAATTAATTTTAATTAAAAAAATAAGTGATATATATACATTTATTTATTTTTATTTTTAATTTATTAATATTATCAAATTTTAGCTTAATAATTAATTCTTATATTTTTATTTGAAATTATTTATGTTTAATTAAAAATTATCAATTATTTAAATTTTATTAATTCTATAATTTTATATAATTATTATTATAAATTTAATTTTCCAATAACTAATAATATCAACACATTTATTAAATTTCTTTACTTTAATTAATTAATTTGAATTTTTTAACGGTTTTTTTCAAATAAATACGATAAAACTTAAAATTAATTTCTAATTGAAAATATGGTTAATAGTATATTATTATGTTTAATTGAATTTTTAATTTTTAAATTTTAAAATAAGTTTATTTAATCTTTATATTTTTATATAAAAATAACTAATATAAACTTAAAATATTTATCCAACTATTAAATTATCCAAAATATTAATATAAATTTAAAATATCAATTCAAGTAATTAAAATAATTTTAATTTGTTATAAATACATTAAAATACAATTTTATTAAGCATACAAATAATATATATATATATATATATATATATATATATATATATATATATATATATATATATATATAAAAGAGACTAAATTAATAATTAATTTAATGATTGATTCAGTTATTGATTCTGTGACCGATTCAAGTGACTAATTTGGTGACCGAACCAATTGATCGAATCAATAACCGATTCTGTGACTAATTCAATAATCAATTTTAATTTTTTTATTCACATGCAAAATTAAAAATTAAATCAAATAATTACATTATTAAATTATTTAATAAGTTAGTAAATTATTTTTTTAAATTTTTATAATGTTATTAAAAATGTTATTAATTATTTTAAGTTATTAAGTAGATTTATATTTAATATATTATTACAATATTTTAAAAAATATTTTATATAAATGAAAAATAGTCACAAATTTAGAGATTATTTGTTTCGTGACTCGAAATTTTAGTCACTAAATCGACCACTAAATATAGAAAGGGAAATCGATCCATTGATTCGAGTTACTATTAGTAATAGAATATTTCGGTCACTAATTTCGATCATTATTAACCATTTTTCTAATAGTGTCGACCTGTAGAAGATTCTGACGATCTTGAAAATTGGTGGACAATTAACTCCTTGTTGGTCTCTTGGATCATGAACATTATTGAACCTTCATTGTGAACTACTATTCGGCATATGGATGTAGTACAAGATGTTTGGAAAGATATTAAAAAATGGTTCTCCACATTGAACAAACCATGAATTCAACAACTCAAAGTCTATCTAGTTTAATGTAAACAGAGAGGAATGACTATTGTTAGATATTTTAGATATTATTAGTCACTATATATATATTTACCATATTTACTTGTATGATTCTTAATTATAAATATATTACTCTGTGTATTTTAGACACAAGGGAATTAACCTTATACCTAGTTTTTCACTATATTCAACATGGTATCTAGAGCTTAGGTTCTTTTTTTTTTCGTAACTGTCGTTGCCCCTGCACCTACTGCTGCTGCCATTGTCGCCGAAACCACTGTCGCTGCAAGAGTCACAGTTCAGACTGACGTCACTCAAGTGTTGGGTATATCTATTTAATAGTATATGTTAATGATATTGTTCTTACAGGGAGTGATCACTATGACATCTCCTAGACGAAGCAACACCTTTGTCACCATTTTCAGATTAAAGATCTTGACAAACTTAAATATTTCTTGGGGATTGAGGTAGCACAATCCAATAATTGTTAGGATAAACTGTAATTGAATATGATATCCATTCTAATGATCAAACATATATCTATAATCCCATACTGTAAACATGTTATAAACTAAATGCGAAAGCGTACCTGAATTGACCATAATGACGATATACTTTGTAGAACACTTTTGATTTGATTTTATGGTCTTCCACCTGAAGAGTACCTGTATTTCCCTCTTGATTTTCTTTCTTGATGGGGATAGAAAGAAAGGAACGAGACTGTAACTATGTTCTGTCTGTGTGCTCTCAAAAGGGGACCATGACCCTTTAAATAACCAAAATTAGGTTAATTACTTAAGTTTTAGTATTTTCAATTTGGCCCCTCATCAAATTAGAAATTACTCTATGGTCTCTACACAATCATATTTTCATGACATATGCCTTTAGCCAAAACTTTAATTTATTCAGATCACTTTATTATTTGGCTTAATAAATAATGACCCTAACACATTTAAATATGTATCATATATATACATGACCCAAAATTTGCCAACAATCTCCCACTGGTCACAAATATATATGTCTTTACAACCTTACAAATGTGTTAGACTTTATGAGCTCAAAATTGTCATTATATTCCTTTAGCATATTCCAAAAGTCCTGTCCATTAATCATATCAGGATATAGAACCAAACCAGCTTTTTATTGCATCATCGCAACTAAAACCAACAATGATTACTCATCCTGACATAACTAAATGACATGGATTCATCATGAAATGTGTAGCATGAAAAATTACGTGAATGTGATCTGTACACGTCTATTTTCAATTGGTCCAAACTTTAACTTATCGAGATCGATATAATAACCTTAATGTACAAAGTGTAATGAATGAACAAAAAACCGCATATCTATAGATAACCAAATATGTCCAAAAAATCAATGTATACATATATAAAATTAAACATAGAACATAAAATATATGAAAATGACTAACTCCCACTAAACCACAAACTCCTCAAACTGTAAAACACCCATGTGAGCAACATGCTCATGAAAGACCTTGGGCGGAAGTCCTTTAGTTAGAGGATCTGCTATCATGGAGTTTGTCCCTAAATGTTTTATGGAAATCTGTCCACTCTGTACTCTTTCCTTAACAACTAGGAACTTAATGTCGATGTGTTTTGACTTAGTCGAACTTCTGTTGTTGTTGGAATACAATACAGCTGATTTGTTGTCACAATATAACTTAAGTGGTCTTTCAATGCCTTTCACAATTTGCAGCCCTGTGACAAAATTTCTCAGCCATATTCCATGGTTCGACGCCTCATAGCATGCTACAAATTCTGCTGCCATAGTGGATGAAGCTGTAAGGGTTTGCTTGACACTGCGCCAAGAAACCGCACCACCTGCTAACATGAAAATGTAGCCTGAAGTGGATTTCAAACTATCTTGACATCCTGCAAAGTACGAATCAGAAAACCCAGCGATCTCCAACTGGTCTGACCTCCGTATGTGAGTATGTAATCTTTTGTTCTCTTTAAATATCTCATGACCCTTTTTGCTGCTTTCCAATGGTCCATTCCTGGATTACTTAAATATTTGCCTAGAACCCCAACTATGTATGTTATGTCTGGACGCGTACATACTTGGGCATACATCAAACTCCCTACAGCTGATGCATAGGGAATCTTTTGCATTTCCTCAATTTCCAAATTTCCCTTTGGGCACTGATTGAGACTAAACTTGTCTCCCTTAGCAACTGGAGTATCCCCAGATTTACATTAATGCATGCCAAACCTTTTAAGAATTTTTTCGATATAGTTCCTTTGTGATAATCCTAAAATACCCCGACATCGATCTCGGTGTATCTGAATTCCTAATACAAAAGACGCATCACCAAGATCTTTCATTTCGAAATTCTTTGATAAAAATTTCTTGGTTTCGTGCAATATGCCTATATCATTAGTGGCAAGTAGAATGTCATCAACATACAAGATCAGGAAAATATACTTACTCCCCTTAGACTTGTGATATACACAATCATCAACAATATTCATCTCGAAGCCAAATGAGAGAATTATTTGATGAAATTTATAGTACCATTGACGAGATGATTGTTTTAGTCCATAAATGGATTTTGTCAGTTTGCAAACCATACTCTTTGAATCTCCCTACACAAAATTTTCTGGTTGCACCATATAAATCGTCTCATCAATGTTGCCATTAAGAAACGCCGTCTTGACATCCATTTGATGAAGCTCCAAATTATAATGTGCTACAAGAGCCATGATTGTCCTAAAAGTGTCTTTCGATGAAACTGGAGAGAAAGTCTCTTTAAAGTCAATCCCTTCCTTTTGGGTATAGCCCTTAGCTACCAGACGAGCCTTATACCTTTCCACATTACCTTTAGAATCCCGTTTGGTATTAAATATCCACTTGCAACCAATGGGTCTCATACCTTCTGGTAATGGGACAAGTTCCCAAACCTTGTTGTCTTGCATGGACTTATACTCCTCCTTCATTGCTTCAATCCACTTTTCAGAGTTAGAACCTTGCATGGCTTGACGGAAGTTAACTGGGTCATCTTCCATCATACCATTGTTTTCCTCATGTTCCTGAAGAAATACCATGTAATCATCCGAAATAGCACTTCTTCTTTCTCTAGTGGATCTCCGCAAAGTTATTGGCTCATGATGCACAGGTTCTTGAGGATCTTGAGTTTGTTCTTCATGAACAACCAAATCATCTTGAGTAAGGGGTTCATTAACAATGCCTTGTGGAGGTTCCGAACTTACTTTATCAAAAGTAACTGTTTGAATCGGTTCTGGAATTGTTACCGATTCTTCCTCCAAGACAAAGTTCCTGATTTTATTCTTCCCCCCAAAATCAATATCCTCAAAGAATGTAGCAGTTCCCGTCTCAAAAATTGTCTTTAATGTGGGATCATAAAATTTATATCCCCT